CAGGAGCGAGACCACAGGTGCTCACTTGAGAATGAAGATAGTGACTTTGGATTTGAGGAGCAGCTCTGATGCCACAATCTGACAGATCTGGGTTTTCATACTGGCTCTACACAAGCTACCTGGGACCCTGGGGAATCTGCTTAGCTGCGCCTCAGTTTCCTAGTTGATGGTTACCCCAGAAAATGAGCTTAGCAATATTTGTTTTGCAGGGCTGTTGTAAGGAATGGATGATAAAGTGCATCTAATGTATAGCTGATGTTCAATAAATGGTGGCTGTTGAAATGGCTTTAATTATCCTGATCCAGGTGGCAATGTCTAGGAAGTGCATGGGTTTCTGAACCTGGATGTTGAGAGAAGTGTGGGCTGAGAGAAGGACATGCACTGAATGGGCAGGCCTTCCAGACACCCCGGTCTGGGCTCAGAGTTCTCTGTCTCAGGCAAGGAAAGAGCCTCCGTGAGAATACTGATCTGAAGAAAGTTCATCCCTAATCATCAGCTTTGCCCTTTTGGGGGTCATCTTGGGGCTCACAGCACCTTTAACCAAGCTCCCCAAAAGTTACTTTTCCAAGTCCTGGGGATTGCCAGAAACAAATGCTTTCATTGGAATGAACTCGTACAGGCAGATGTTTTTGAAATAATTTCACTGCTTTTGTTCATTATTTAAAAATTCAACCAATAGTTGAAAATACAGAGAAGAAAGTAAGAATAGCTTACACTAAATGTCCCCTTCTCCACAAATATAAGAGGAGGGAGGAAGGAAAGAGAGAGATTATACTAGATTACTAGATACACTTTTTGAAATAAAATGTATTAAAATTTAATCGAGCTTCAATTAAAGTGAAATGAAACTGTAGGACTTGCTGAATTTAGGTAATTGCTTCCTCCAGAAAAAAAAGAGGTTAGTTTTATATATTCTGAAACGTATTAAAGGTTTGTAGTCATGGAGGTACTTTGCTTACATTACATATTCCAAATTTGGATTATTGACTTCCTGTAGGAAAAGATGAAAATGGCAGCATTCTTCCCACTTTTCCATCTCCACATATACAAATGATAAATTATTCTTTTTATATTGTTAAGTTTATAACATTTATGATTCACTTTGTAACCACAATTTCCCTATGTGTTTAGCCTGAAACTTAATATGTAAAAGGATTTAATGCTCACCACCAGTCCCTTTACCATGGCTGCTCATTCCCAACTTGATAATTTTGATTAATGTCTTATTTAGCTGAGTTTCATTATTCAACAGTTTTCCTAGAAGGGCTCAGAGGTGCTGTGTTTCCTGAATTGTAGCATGTTTGAAAATGTTGTCTTTATTCTTGAAGGACAGCTTGGATGGTTATAAATT